TTTTTTTTTTTTTTTTAAATTTTTTGATGTTTATTTTTGAGAGACAGAGACACAGACAGTGTGAGTGGGGGAGGGGCAAAGAGAGAGGGCGACACAATCTGAAGCAGGCTCCAGACTCCAAGCTGTCTGCACAGAGCCCAGTGCGGGGCTCGAACCCACAAACCGTGAGATCATGATCTGAGCCAAAGTCGGACGCTCAACTGATTGAGCCAATCAGGTGCCCCCCCATTTTTTTTTTTTAATATTTACTTTTGCAAGAGAGAGAGTGAGAGGAAAAGGGGCAAAGAGATATATATATATAGAGAGAGAGAGGAGGACAGAGGATCCAAAGCAGGCTCTGTGCTGACAGCAGACAGCCAGATGTGGGGCTTGAACTCACGAACCGCGAGATCATGACCTGAGCCAAAGTTGGACGCTTAACTGACTGAGCCACCCAGGCGCCCCAGGAAGAATCTTTCTTTGCATTTTCAAGCTTCAAGAGTCTGCCTACATTCCCTGTCTCATGGCCCCATCCTGCAGCATAGCACCCCCAAGTATCTCTCTGCTTCCATCATTACATTGCCTTCTCTGTGTCTCTGATCCACCTGCCTCCCTTTTATAAGGGAGACAGAGCGGGGACTGGACTCAGGCCCCCTCAACCCTAACCCAAAACCCAGCATTCCTTGGCAGCTGGAACTCTAGGCCTCTTGAGTAGCGTTATCTCGCAGGAATGCAAATGCAGCATGCTTACCTAAAGGAGGGACTTCATCATGTAGACTGGCAGAGAGCTAACCAAACCAGTCTTCGCCAAGGTGGACCCCAGTGCTGACCTTTCACCGACTTTCTCCCTCATTATAATATTAAAAATCCTGCGGGGGCGGGGGAGGGAGGGAGGGTGGAGATTGATCATGCTATTGAGACATGCCATACATGCTTGCCCCACTTCCTATTATCTCTTCCCACCCATTCACGCTTAGGTCACTCCTTTCCCTCCTCAGTCTCTTTAAAAACATTCCCTGGCCTTTGTTCCTGTTGGACGCCCATCAATTTCTATTTCTTAGGGAACCCAAGGACTGGAGCTGGTGATATAAGGACCCTTAAAAAGACATTGGACCATCCAGACAATCCATTATAATCTTTCCATCTCAAGATCCTTAATCACTTTTGCAAAGTCCCTCCAACTGTGTAAGGTAATGTATTCACAGTTTCCTGGGGATTAGGATATTGTGGAGCCGTTACTCTGGTCTGCCACAACAGAAAATAAAAACAAGAAGCAAATAAGATGATAAGTATTCAAAACATTCATTGAGAGAACATTATGAAACACACTGTGCTAAGACCTTTAAAAGCCTCATTTCTCTTCATCCTTTAGCAACCAAGAATGCCAGTCAACAAAAGAGACATTTTTAATAAGGAAGTCCAGAATTACTGAAAACTCTTAAAGTTCAAGGAAACAAAGTACAAATTAGTACTGAGTTCAAGGTTTTTGACGTGTGACCCTAGCTTTCCTGTCAAGTCTCAGGCTACACTCTATTTATCAATAAAACTAGCTTTTGATCCTTTTCCAGAAAAAGTCCCATGCTTTCCCATTATTCTGCCTTTGCTTGAGCAATTGGTACCATCTGAAATCTCTTTCCTCCAACTCTGGATGTCAGCATTCTATTCCTTTTTCTAGAACTTCCTATAAGGGGCATAATAAATTATATATATATTTTTTCCTGTAGCTTCTTTCACTCAGTGTGAACACTTTTAGATGCTTCAGTGTATCAGTAATGTATGCCTTTGCATTGCTGAGTGGTATTCCATTGTATGACTAGATCACTATTTGTTTATTCTTTTCTTGTTGGACACTTACATTGTTTAGTTTGGGGGTTTTATGGACTAAGCTCAATGAACATTTCATGTGTAAATCTTCAGATAGACATGTGTTCATCTTTTTCTTGGTAAATATCTTCTTTGGTGAGGTATCTGTTCAATTATTTTGCCGATTTAAAAATTTGTGTTGCGTTTCTTGTTGTTTCTGAGTTGTTGAGTTCCTTCTATTTTCTAGACACAAGCTTTAAATCAGTAATCAGCATTCACATTATTATGACCTGTGAATATCATTCACAGTTAAACTTACAGTATTCTATGATTGTTTCCTTTCTTGTAAACTTCTTGCTCACCCCAGAGGTAATAACTATCTCCCCTCAACCCCCAGCCAAGCTTATTTGTTTATGTACTTGGTATTCTATTTAGTTTCCATGTATTGTGCTCTGGGAAGGATGTTTCTAAGGAAAGAAAAAGAAAAAGAAAAAAAGAAAGAAAGAAAGAAAGAAAGAAAGAAAGAAAGAAAGAAAGAAAGAAAGAAAGAAAGAAAAAGAGGAAGAAAGAAAGGAGGGAAGGAGGGAGGGAAGGAAGGAAAGAAAGGAAGGAAGGGAAAGAAAGATATCAAACACATCACCTAAAATACAGACTGATACTTAAAAAAATTTTTTTTTACTGTTTATTTATTTTTGAGAGAGAGAGAGAGAGAGTGCACAAGCAGGGGAGGAGCAGAGAGAGAGGGAGACACAGAATCCCAAGCAGGCTTGAATTCACTCACAAGCTGTGAGATCATGACCTGAGCCAAAGTCAGAGCCTTAACCCACTGAGCCACCAAGGCGCCCCCAGACTGACACTTTTGAATGCATTGAGAGATTCATGCGTCCTGCAGAGAATTTGACCATAATCATAAGTGTCCATAGGATACCAAGCACACAAATAAAGAAGTGTGGGTGGTGGGTGAAGAAAGGGGGAAGGGAGGAGGATAACAGAGATTAATTCTTTCCTCCAGGATAAGGAGAAAGTTCACAAAAAAGGAAACAGAATCATAGAATACCACAAGCTCAGCCATGAATAATACTCACAGGTCATAATAACGTAGATGCTGATTACTGATTTAAAGCTTGAGATAAAACACTTGGGATGATGAAAGGCACAGAAAGATGCCTTCTGAGGATGTGTGAGGTTAAAATTAAAATTTCCTTTTCCGTCCTAGGAAGTCAAAGAATAATATCCAAGATAGAAACATCAAGAAACAGCAGATAGCCATGTTATTTGGAAATGCAGAAGTAAAAGTTTTTTTTGAAATAAGTAAAAATGCTAATTTCTGGAAAGTGAACTGAGTCAGGGAGGACTGGACAGGAGAATGTGGGTTTTGGTTATACACTTTACAAATGAAAAAGAGAGTCAGGGCGCCTGGGTGGTTTAGTCGGTTAAGCATCTGACTTCAGCTCAGGTCATGATCTCACGGTTTTGAGTTTGAGCCCCAAATCGAGTGAGCTCGAGCCCCGCTTTCGGTGAGCCCCACTTCCCTCTCTCTCTGCCTCTGACTCACTTGTGCCCTCTCTCTCAAACAAAACAAAGCAAAAAACTTAAAAAATAATAAATAAAAAAGGTAGATGGGACACCTCGATGCCTCAGTCAGTTGAGTGTCCGACTTCAGCTCAGGTCATGATCTCCAGGTTTGTGTGTTTGGTTTGTGAGTTCTAGCCCCGCATCTGGCTCTCTGCTGTCAGCAGGGAGCCCCGCTTCTGTCCTGTCTCCCATTCTCTCTGCACCTCCCCCACTTACACGCTCTCAAAAATAAATACACGTTTAACAAAATAATTAAAAAAGAGAGAAAGAGTCACATAAAATGTTATAGAACCCCCAACCCCACCCCTCGCCAGCTCCCCATGTTTACCAGATGCTTGCTGTGGGCACTCCGTTCACAGCTATCATTACTGTGAGAATTGAGGATTAGGGCCTCCAGAATTCCAAGTGCAATTCTGGCAATCCTGGCTGTCTGAATTGCCTACCTCTGGGAGTTTGCATTTATCTGGAAGGGAGATTATAACCTCCCACAAGTTCCTTAACTTCCCGGCGTTTCCTCATCTCTAAAATGGGGATGAAAAGAAATAAAAAATAAATAGATAAATAAATAAGTAAATAAATAAATAAAATGGAGATAATAAACCCAGCTGGGAGGGATGTTGTGAAAAGTAATTCAAAACTATGCTTATAGAGTGCTTGGCACATAATAGCAGCTCAACAAACATTAGTGTTTGTGGTTATTACTTCCTGAAAACAAAACCCACTCACCATTGACCAGTGGAAAAGAGGGCTTCTATCAAAGATGTCAGAGTTTGGGACCAGAAATATCTTTCTTTCAATGACTAAACTTCCCAGGCCTATTCCCCAACCTTGTTTCTTTGGGAGCTCTTTCTTCCTGGCCAATATTAG